GGAACGGCGCGGGTGCGGGTTTCCCGTGGGGTTGTCAGGGCTGGTAGAGAGGGTGAGGGAGCGAGAGCCCCGGGGCGGGATGGGGCGCCCAGCGCTGCGGGCTTGCTGTCCTCTCTCCTCTCCTGTGTTCCTGCCCGCTCCTGTCCGGCTGGCCAGTGCTGGCCCATCGGAGAGGGCTGCCTGCCATGGCACAGTGTCCTGCTCGCTTGGCTCCAGCGTCAGCCGTCATTTCCAAGAGCAAAATGTCCCTGGAGCCAAATGCGGGAAACCCGTCATCAGCGAAGAACCTGCTCGGGATGCCAGTGATTAAAGTGCGGGGAAATACTAGGGAAATAGGGAAGGTCCCGGTCTGGCCTTGCTTTCTTGTCGCCCGTTGTAGCTGGCTGAGCTGTCCCGGTCGAGGCTGCCGGCTCACCCTGGTGAGGTGGGATTCCTGACAGTGAATGGGAGCAGCCAAGGGCGGGCTGGAAATCTCTCCCTGTGGTCCTCGCAAACGTTATGCAGGCCGGGCTGTAGCCTCAGAGCAAACACCGTCACCCAGAGCTCAGCCGTCACGCAGGTGGCTGGGGATGGCCGCGATGTAGCCCCTTGTGCGAATAAAGTCTGGTAGAAACAGAATTTTGCCTAACTTTTGAGGAGGAATTAAGGAGATATCCTTAGAAAAATCACGGGATAAAATAAATTCATGGGATCTCAAATTTGTGACGAGCAGTATAAAATAGTTTCTTCACATAATTCATTGATCAGCGGTCTCGAAGAACATAAGTATATTCAATTTATTATAAGAAAATTTGGTAATCGCTTTCCCCAGGGAGTGAGATCATCAGATGAAGGTTCACTTCGTTTCAATGTTCCACATCCTCTTGTTAGACCTTGAAGTTGGCAACGCAAGAAAACAGGAACTCCACCCTGGCTGGCTGAATTGTAGTGCTCTGCAGCTAGCTCCTGACCATCTGCCTTTGCTTCCTGTTATGACAGAGTTTTTGAACTTTCTGGGATGTGTGAAAAGTCATTATTTACCCTTCACTGCTAAGTAGGTGATGTGAAAGTGTCCGCTTAAAGCATACTGCATATCGCTGTATATAAGGCTTTTCTGATTGAGTAGCATTTACTTTGTTTATTGCATTGATTGGAGAGGTTTTATCCATTTTTTCACAGGTTTATTTGTTTCTCTGGATCAGCCAACCCTTAGCATCCAAAAAGATGTCCTCACAATAACTGCCAATGACACTCTCAATATTACTTGCAGGTAAGGGCAAATCTGTCCAGCCTGATTTTCATGGCGGTGATTTATGCAGGGAGTTTTTGTACAGAACCGCAGGTGATTCGGTCTCTCTCCCGTCATCGCTCCTGTTGCTCCCCGCTCCCTTTGTGCCCCCCGCCTCGCTTTTCCCTGGCAGACTGTAGAAACGATCTTAAAGGGTCGCAGAAGGGAGAGCTGGGGAGCGCAGGGTGTCTGGGAGGCGGAAGCGTCAACCAAGTCCTCCTGGAGCGCGCTGGTGAGCCAGGCTCTTGACTCTCCCTTTTGGGTGCTGTGTCACTTAGATTCCACAGAACATATATCTCAGGTAGCTTCCTTGTAGGTATTAATGGTGGGTCGATTCATGTGAATTAATCCTATGTGGCTTGATGCTCCATGTGATGGGATGAAGTCTGTTCCTCTCCATAGCCATAGAGAGTAGGGGGGCTGGGGTTTGCCACTTTGGCATCAGTACTGGCACTCGTCGCACACTCATGCTCCTGTAACGTTTCTTTCCCAGCGGTCAGAGACCACTGGAGTGGTCCTGGCCAAGCAACCAGAGCAGTGCTGAGAAGCGTATCTCTGTGACAGACTGCAGCGATGGCCCCTACTGCAAGACACTTACTCTCCTCAAAGTCATCGGCAATGACACAGGGGACTACAGGTGCCTTTACAGGGACAACCAAGCAGCTACAACCATTTATGTCTATGTTCAAGGTAAGTGCTTACACAGTTCTGAGGTGGCTCTTCCCCTAGCCTCAAGAGAAAAGAGTATCTCAAGTATTTCAAAATGGTTTTGACATTAAAATTTCTTACTCCTAGAATTTTTGATCATGTGAAACTGTTATTTTTCTTGTTTTCATGTTGAGTCATGCCAGTATGCTAGTTGCCATCAACAGAAAAGCTTTTGTACCTGTAATTTTTAACTGACCTGTCATATGCAGTACTTGGTCTGCTATTCTCCTCCACCCAGAACTTGGCATACATACCTCCACTGCGCCCTGAGCCTGCCCCCATGAATGCAGAACTATTACTGACCTCGGCAGGAGTTTCATACGAGGGAAGATTACAGAGATTGTGTATTTATTAAAAGTGACAGATCTGATCCCTTTTACAATTTGTACTATCTGATACCATTAAAAAAAGAAACCCAAAACATAAACATCCATACTTCTGCTGACTGCAACGGTAAAATCTATTTAGGCGTTAAGAGCTAGGTTTTCAAACTCAGACTGTCAGTTGTATTCACAGGAATGCAGGTGAGCATCGCAGATGCTGCAAAGCCTCCAGTTACACACTCAGCTTCAGTAAGCGCATTCGTTGAGGCATCTGCCTTTTTGCACTGATGGCTTGATACCCCTTTTCTGGTGCGCCCCGTTTCCTTTTTATTGTTAACTTATAGCTACCATTTTGAAAAATGGGATGTTATTATGTACACAGGTTAGCTTGTTTTATAAGGTCACAAACTTAGGGGTTTTTTTGGTCTGACTTTGAAAAGGATGCTGCCATTGGGGGAGCCAACGTAGCATGTCACTACTTTTAACTGATATTTCCTGTAATACTTCTGCAAGGAAAGTCACGCTAGGGTAAACCAGATTTTTGTCGGCACAAAGGCTGCAGTGGCAGGAAACTATTCTCCAAAGTGCGCGCTGCTGCCTATAGCTGTTTTGAGAATAGTGAAATTGTAAAATTAAGGAGGAGGTCTGTAAAAACATGTGCCCACTATTTAGTCTCATCATTTAAGTGTTTTACCACATAGAAAATAACTGATTTGAGAAGAAATAGACAGGGAAAGAACAAAATTGGAAAAGTTTCCTCTGTAAGCACGTGACCAATAATATCCATTTACCAATTGAATATTCTTCTAGATTACAGATCTCCATTTGTGACTTCAGTTAGTGATCAGCTTGGCATTGTATACATCACTAAGAATAAAACTGTGGTAGTGCCGTGCCTTGGAACCGTATCAAATCTCAACGTATCTCTACATGCGGTAAGGAAAAAGCCCCCCCCATTATTATTATAAGAGTTAGTTGAAATCACTGTGACATAAATACATTGCCTGAAGTATAAATATGTTTCTTAAAAACTTCTTTCCATCCTTGGGAATTTTACAGCCTGTGATTACAAGGTGAGTGCTGTAACCATACTTGTCCATGATCCTGGGCTCTCAAAGTGCGGTGTGATGGCCTACGAAAGGGAGATTGCCTGAGCTAGGATGTTAAAACTGGGACCCTGCGGTTACGGAAAATGTTGGACTTGAAAATTCAGCGTTGTTTGATTTTTGAAATCTGACTATGTATTTTATCAATATTTCAAACAGAAATATCCAGAAAAGATATTTGTTCCTGATGGTAAATCAATTTCGTGGAATAATAAAAAAGGCTTCACTATACCCAGTCATTTAATCAACTATGCGGGCATGGTCTTCTGTGAAGCTAAAATAGATGATGAAAGCTATCAGTCTGTGATATACATAGTCGCAGTTGTAGGTAAGCCAAAGTGTTTTTTTTTTCTCTCTATAGCCAATGTTATTTTGCTCGCTACAACATACTGAACCAATTACATTTGGTTGGACTCTAGGTTATTCAATACTGACAATGCAGCTAATGCAAAATGGATGTTGTGATATATATTACTTTTCTTTTAAACGCAATGTATTGTGTTCTTTCTCGTTGATCATTGGGATAAGTGCTTCTATTTTTAGCGTTACATAGATGCCAGGGATTTTTATTTTTTTCCCCTGACAAGGCAAGCCTTTTTCCAAAAATCACTCTGTTCTGTAGTTTATTTACTTATCTGGGATCCAAGTCATAGTGGAAGGGAACTAGAGGCAGGCATCCTTCAGCAGCAGATGGGGATTGCTCAGAGAATTGCTCTGAGGGGGTACCAAGGGAATGGGGGATCTGAAGGTCGCACTAAGAGCTAGGTTGTCTTGTCTCCTTCAGACCTGTGTCCTGACTCTGACAGGGTTTTACGCTGTCCTGGTATATTTTGTCAGTTGTTCATCAAAACCCAGAAATAACATCATGATTCTGTGGAGGCTCAAGCCTGAGCCGAAACTGCAGATACTCCTCTTTTGACTCTGAGGCCACAACGGCCACTTCAAGTGGCCGCTTGGCACCAAGGCAGTCTCGCCTTGCTTGGCAGGAAGACTCAGCAGCCCTCCACCCTTTAATCTGTGCAGCAGGCTCTTGCTTCTCCACCAAATTCATCAGTCTTCACTCTGATTTGGAGCAAATTCAGAATTTCTCCATTCAGAATATTCTGGTTTGGAATATTTAAAGTATTTTTATCGCAGAAAGTAAACTTGCGATAATTTCAGCAATGCCATATTGTCATTCTTGATAAAGTTCCCACTTTTTGCTTGGGGTGGGGATGTGTCTCCTTTAGTTTCAGGTCTCACAAGGGTAAGAAGAAGGTGTCTTAACGCAGAGGAACTGTGTGGGTCACCGTCTCCTGCCTGCTCCCACCACCGGGGGGGCTCTGATCAAGTGCCTACATCCTGCTGCGCCGTGTCTGACGCGGCTCTCGGATGGGAAACGCTGAGAGCAGGCGTATCCCTTCCCTCCAGGCTCCTTTGTACGCTCGTCATCATGCTGCCCGGGGGCATCGCGGGGCCTCTTTGTCGCTGGGCTTTTGGTGGTAGTTTTGGTGAATTTGCCTGGGAAATTTGGTGCCGACCGCTGTAAAGAAACCTCTTCTTACCCCCATGTTTTGTGTGTGCTTTTTTCTTCCTCTAGGATACCGAATTTATGACCTGACGATGAACCCGCACTACCAAGTCGAGCTGGCAGTGGGAGAAAAACTTGTTCTCAATTGCACCGTAAGAACGGAGCTGAATGTAGGAATTGATTTTAAATGGGATTACCCTTCCATCAAGGTAAATCCGTAATAACTTACAGCTGCCAACATCACAACAAAATTCAATTTAGTTATAATGTCACTCCCCTCTTTATAACAGTGACAAAGCAGATGATAATATACAAAGAAATTACTAGTATACACAGGTGTAGAAAGTGTAACAGGAGGAACAATGAAATTCCCACACACCTCTGTCTTTTATCTGTTATAGGAAAAACGTGCAACCATAAGGGATTTAAAAACCACAGCAGGAGAAGTAAAGAAGTTTGTAAGCACCCTTACCATCGACAGCGTGTCCTTAAGTGACAAAGGTCGATATACTTGCGCAGCATCCAGTGGCCGTATGAACATGAAAAACAGCAGTTACTTCATTATCCATGGTACGGCATCCTCCATTTCAGTTTTCTTGGTTGCTTCAGATTTGGGATTGACTACTGGGATGCAGAAGGCATCTCAGAGATGAATCAAATGACAGAAAAGAACGAAACTGCAGCTACAGTATTTCTCTTGCACCCAATATATGATTATTTTTATACCACAAGCTTAGCTAATGATAAGATTTTAAACAATCCTGTATGTTACTGAGAGCTGTAGAATCCCATAGGAAAATGGGCAGTAAAATAAACTGAGGTAAGCCTCTGTTCCTCTTCTGTGTTGACCTCCTTGAGGTCCCATAAAGCTGAATTTGTGTAGATGACTTTGTATAAGGGTTGCCTGTTCTCACTCCAGGTGAACTCCCGCTAGATTCGGGTGGCTCTGTGGGACAAGAGTCTGGGTCGGCATGAATGAAGCTAGGAAAATAAAACTTTCAGCTTTAACATTTTGAATAGATGATCAAATGGAGTTTTGGCCGTACGGAAATGATGCAAAGGAAACAACTTTGGCTAAGTGCACAGATAAGTACGAGGCCACATCCTACAGCCTTTTCTCAGGCCCCTCTTGGGCACAGCCCCAGTGGCTCCACTGGCTTACTTCTAGAAAAAAATTGCCAGCATGAGAATGGCCCATTTTTATCACTGAGTCAGACAAAGGGGTTTACATTTTCAAGGAGGCTGGTTTTCCTGAGGCCTGATTTCAGGGGCCTGAATATTAATGGCTCTTTTTCTGTTTTTTTTATCATTCAAACTTATTATGTGGCACAGTGATTCAAGATAGACTCAATTTTCTCCTGGGTTCTTTCTATTTCTCTTCAGGAGCCAAAACCAGATCATGTGCTATAAGTGAGTGTACCAGATACTAAGTTGATACCATCCTAAATCTTAGCCAAAAGGCTAATCGCTGTCTCAGTCTGAATGCAAGTTTATAACTTATAACAAGTAATGTAAATAGTTTCAAAGTATTCTGTGACTGCAACAGTTCAAATACATACTTGAGAAGAGGCTGAACATATCTAACTTTATCACATTGTAGTTTTGAATACTATTATTTCTTGGAATGAGTAGATCAAGCCAGTTTTATGATATTTATTTATTTATATATATATGTATATAGGTCTGACAGTTGGCATGCCATCCTGAGAGCTGAGTCTTACCTCTGCTTTCCAGAGCTCCCCAGTGGGAGAACTGGCCTGCTCCTCTGTGCAAGGGAAAGGACTAGGTTTTCATGGTGGGTCCAGAGCCCACCAGCTCTCTCCAGTTTGGAGCCAACTGTGCTTTACCAGTGGCGTCCTGTCACTGGCCTCTATTTGTCACCTGCTGTTAAGTGCTAACCCAAACGGAGACCACTTACACTTTTGTCCATGTGGAAAGAGAATTTAATTTAATCTTTTGCAGAAAGTCCTTTTATTCACCTGGAGAGAATGGAGAATGTGGTTGAGACAAAGTTAGGTGACACAGTCAAAATTCCCGTCAAGTTTAAAGGATATCCTCCACCAGAGGCAAAATGGTAAGAATCAGGACACAATGTGTTTGAAAAATTGAGCTATTCTGAGTCAAGGTAAATGTTTGAAGTATTCAAAGCGCTCTATATTTTGTTCAGGTATAAAAACGGGAAGGCCATCAATGCAAATCATACAGTTAAAGTTGGCTACACATTAGTGATCGCTGAAGCAACTGAGAAGGACGCTGGGAATTACACCGTTGTCCTTACAAACCCTTCCAACAAGATGCAGAAGAGGCATACATTCACTCTGCTTGTGAACGGTAAGTGGCCTACAGGGATACCTTTCTTCCATGTGTGGATGTGGTGTATTACCATTCTTAGGATTAAATTCATCCCAGAACTATGAAGATTTAGGTGGGGGTGGTGGCCGGGAGGAGAGCACTTGAACCTGAGCCCTGGGAGGGCAGAGGTGGCTTGTCTCTCCTGGCTCCAGGATGTGCTGGTCAGGAGGCTGCAGGCTTCTGGTGATGTTATTGTGATGATACTTTGTGTGTGTTTTTTGTTTTCTGTATATTATTTCTTTGCTTCTGCATCCTGCTCTTTTCCTGCCTTCTTTGCTGGCCGTGCTGCCAGAGTCCTCCCCCACCCTGCTCCATCCTGGCCCTGTCCCGCCTCGCCCATCCTTCCTGCCCCACTCTGCCTGTCCCTCCTCTTCTGCCCTGCCTTGTGCAACCCTCCTCCTCCTCCTCCTCCTCTTCTTCCTCCTCTCTGCTCCCTAGGAAACAGCCTAGCCCCCATGCTTTGAAGACGGCAGGTCTTGGAAAGGGCGGCGAGGCTACATGCGGTGGGATCAGGGCTGGGGAATAATACGCATGTAATGGCGGGGGGGGGTGGTGAGAGTTCGAGGGCTGCGTTTTGAATCGAGGGGTAATGAAGGGCGATTTTGCAGGAGACACTAAACATTGTGTCTTGAGGGCCTGATCCTCGAGGTGTTGGGCGGGTTCACCTCTTCCCAACACGTCCATGTTCCTTGGAGGTGCTCTGTGTTGCATTCCGATGTGGGGCACAGCGTGAATTAGCCACCGTGGGTCTAACGCGTGTAGCCGGTGCCGCT